AAAATAAGCCTTTATATTAGACTTCAGCAAAGCCTGTAAGACAAGAAAACATTTTCCAGATGATGGATGTGTTCTCCTTGAATTGCTATGTCATTTTTTTGCTAGTCACGAAAAATAATTTGTTTTTGTTATTAAACCGTTAGATTCAAAATAATGCATGTCACAGCCCTATAACATTCCCACACAAAAGATTGAACATACTGCTGATTGTCATTTTTGCTGACATTTCCCAGAGGTTTTAGAGGCAATTACAAAATAAATAGAAAGTACAAATTGAGCTGGAGACGAAATAACAGGGAACAGGGATGGCGGGGTGACCTCTGCGAGATTTGATGTAGTGTTTTATGGGACGACCAAGTATAAAAAAATATATCGTGCCCTGAGGAACTTTGAAATGAAGGGCAATGGGCTGGTCGCTAAGGAGACTGGGACCAAGTGGTGAGTGCAGAGGCCATTAGGAGATAAAGTCATATTGACACGGCCGGTATAGGATTCATCATGGCTGTCCCTGGCCTTTTGTCTGTTTGCGGAGGGAGACTGCAGCAGAGCTCTGTGTCCCCAAACAGACTGTGAGTTTAGTATGATTTATAAAGCGATAAGATCAAAATAGTGAAGCTGGCACTCAGGGAATGTAGTTTACCTCATTTCCCTCTTGCCTGGACTATGGCTGGTCTAGTACGACATTACATTCATCGATCCAAATGCATTTCTTTAGCCAAAGGGAGGAGTGTGACAACATGGGGAGGAGGAGGACATGTCAAATCCACAGCTACCTCGAGGTTTGAAGGTTTCACAATGATTCAATTATGAAGTCCTTGTCAAGTCAATCAATAAATAAAAAGAAACTGTTAACACTTGTTTTGCTTCACCATTTATGTAATTGGCCACAAATAGCATCATAGCAAGGACCTTCTGGAGAGACAGAGGGAGAGAGAGACAGAAACATAGGAAGAGAAAGAGAGACAGAGGGAGAGAGACAGAGACAGAGGGGGAGCAAGAGAGAGGAAGAGATAGACAGACCGAGTGAGAGAGGGAAAGACAGAGGGAGAGAAAGAGAGACAGAGAGAAATAGAGAGATACTTTATTGCTCCCAAAGGAAATTCGAGTTTTGCTGCAGCAACATTTCCACTGTGCTTCTCAGTGGCCTTTGTGTCTCAGTCAAATGTCTCAGTGCAGTGTAAACAACGGAAAAGCATATTTCTGGAAAAGGAGTGGGAGGAAGAAAACTTATCTTAACCCACCCCTACTCATTACATAATTAAAAAAATTATGTGGTTGCTTATGTACGTTGATCACAAGACTTTACAAATATTTACATAGAGCAAAATTACACACTATACATACTAAATGTGTTAGACATAAAAAGTCCTTTTCTATATGTTTTATATATAATGTAAAATATAATATATAAATCAATATATAAATATATCATATATAATATTGCACTAGCTAATAATAGAGTGACCGGACGTCCTCTTTTTCCTGGACATGTCCTCCGTTTATTAACCAAAAAAAACGTCTGTGAGGAATTTGTAAATTATCCCAAAATGTCCAGGATTTTGACAAGCTTCAAGATGAATTGACAGCTTTGAGTGGGACACTTATTTTAGTTCTGGTGACAATCTTTGCTCATCTGATCAGATGCAATCATAGATCTACAATAAAATAATCTTACAATTGCTGGCGCTTCTCCAGCACTGTGCATCTAAACTCCGCCTTTCCCCTTCCCGCTCCAGTGCACACTCGCAGTGAGGGGACAGACCGCTCATTTAATCAGAAAATGCGCCTACATTTATTAAGCGTATTGTGAAAGCATATTAGCTACTGTGGAGAGGTTGGGTGATCATGACACAGTTCTTAATATCTCAAACTCTACACCACTTCCTTTTGTTGAAAATTGACCTCATATTGGTGGAGATACATTCATATCCCAGTTGAAAATGGGGAATAGTCTCACAATACCTCATCCCCCACTGAACGTTGAATGCACATTGAAATTGTTCAATGTAGACACTGAAAAGGACGTAAATGGACTATACTAAACCGGGTATTTAAATACATTTCATTCTTCACTTTAACTCAAAGTGTTGTCAGTGTCCTTTGTTGTTATTCCCTCAGGCTTCTTTGCATGAGGAATCTGTATGAATCTGGCCTATCCTCTCGTTCATTCTTGTACACAGGGTAAAGGTAACTTCATTGCCATAACCTATACTGTAAAAAGGGAAAGCATCTTAAGTGCTACACATCTAGACTTTTACTCTTACAATTACTCTTATTACTTACTACTTTAGCAGTAGTAGCTATTATTTAAGTAAATTGGGAACCACTTTTTACTTCTACTTTGGTAATATCATTTTCAAGTAACAGTATTCTAACTTGAGTAATTTTTTGGCTACTCTAGCGACTTCTGATTGACAATATGACTATATAATAACATGCAAAACGCTAACACCTGGACATTACATAGGCTTTTCAAAGGTTCTATCTCAAAATGTTAATTGCTTTCCCATCACAACACTCACAAAATTACAATGCATTACCTTCCATTTAGTGCAAAAAACCCTGTGCTTTTGAACCAGCTGGAAACCTTTCTCCTTTTTGTTGGCAACAAAAGCCTCTCCAGCCCAAGTCAATTATAACTCGAGCCTAACCTTTCAGCATGATCCCTGCTTTTCATCAGCACCCCTCTCCATTCTGGGCACATGCGGCCATTGTGAACTAGCCCGGGCTAATTGTTAAACATGTCCGTGTCCATCAAACCAAGCCTTGAATGGCAACTGCTCACCCGCCACCAACAATAACTCTACCCCTGGACCTCAGTAGGGGTAATTGTATTCAGGGGCCCATCACCATTCCATTAGTACAATATGAATGGATAAAGCTGCTTGTTGACTGCAGACCTATTCAAACAACGCTCAATGGACCATGCCTTCTCTCGCGCATGTGGTCTATTTCGGACGGGCCAAATGGGGACAAAAAGGTAATTGCATTTGTGATGGGTTAGTGCAAATCTGGGGTCTTCGTGTGTCATGAATCAAAAGTTAAAGTATAGAATATAATAGGATGAAAGACAGGTGGGGTTATGTAAAAGGACCACACTACATCATAGACTGCTCCGTAGAGTTGTTCCAGGTGTATTGAGCAAATACAGCTATATTGATAGTACACTATTGAGAAAACAAACAAGCAAACAAGTAAAGCTGAGGGGCTGGAGTGGGACAGTGCTTGGATAATGGGCAGAAAAGGCAATATGAATAGTTATTAATGTCCCTGTCTAATATAAAGATGCACTGTGGAACTTTTCCGGAGAATGACTCCTGGTGTGTGTCTCCATGGAGATTTTATTACTTTGCCTACAATATATACAAGCAGGTGACACCACCACAAGGCCAAGTTACAGGTCAGATCTGTGGTGAGGAATGAGGAAAAATGCCTGTTTTTCTTAGTATTACTGAGTAGTTAAACATTTGTAATACTTGCAAATGAGTAACATCTCCATGGAGACGAGCCGCGGGCCTACCCGACCTCCACCAGAAAAGTTACATAGGGCACCATCGATATGCCTTTGATCAAAAAAATCTTAAAAGAGAAAAATAGCAACCTTGTGCTTGGGGCAGAAATACGGTTTCATCCAAAAGTAGCTCATGCGGGATTTGTACACTTATTAAAATGATTTTTAAAGTTACAAATTTTGGTAAGATATACATGCAACTATATATACATTAAATAAGTACTCAATCCTAACAAATGAGAAAGCATAGGATTATCAACAAGAAAATAAATTATTTATGATCATGTCCAGAAGGAAAACAAAAGTGACTATAATTCAGTGCTTCTCAATTATTTTCTGTCATGCCCCCCCTAGGAAGAATAAAACATCTCGCGCCCGCCCGCGTGACTATAAATAGTATCATTTGTCTATAAAATTGTTATAAGTACACCTCTGCGTAACACTGCCACCTTATATGATGCCAACAACGCTCGCTGGTTTACTGAAGTAGCAGTCACAAAGCGGGATGATTGTCGGCAATATTCGGCACGTTTTCGCTGAAAAAACTCAAGCGGCTTATCAGGGGGCACTATTTGAGAAGCACTGCTATAATTTAATGTAACACTGTTCGATAAAGAAAGTGATGGCTTTAAGTTGGCATATACAAAAACATGAATGCCAACATATTCAAACCAGCATGGCACCAATTTATAGAATCAATTCTCAGGTCAATTTTCCTTTAAATACTTTTCATAGCGGTGTACCCACTCTTCTGTCCCATCGAGCCTTTGAGAGCTACAGAGATGGATGTGACGACATTACATGATGAAGCAGGCTCTTTCAAGCATTTCTCATTCCAATAAGTCGAGGAGAGCATTTAGACCCGAATGGTTCCAGTCGGCTGGAGAGAAACATTTTCTGAATTTAAACTCAAACCAATTCTTCACCGAGTCCCTGCGCTCTCATGAAGCGTTAAATTTTACTCAAAGCTAGCAAAAAGCATTTACATTTTGCGTATACAGGCTTTGGCGCCGTCGGGTTGGCTGACGATTTGCATTAAAAGGATTTCTCCCGCCCTCCTTTCCATCTAAGAAAATTCTAAATTTGCAAAGTTTAATCATGTCTTGTGTTGACGCCCCTGGGTTTTGTATCTTAAGCTGTCTCCCTCGGGCTGGAAACAGGAGCAGACCTCATCATAAGCTCTTCCTGAGTCTGAATATAGATTTCTCCTATCTCCCTCACCAAGACTGCTCAAAAATTACCTCTTCAAATACTGGATTTGTAATTATGGCTTTTGTGTGGACTTTCTCGTGAACAAATGCGCAACCCCCCAAAAAAATTCCAAAGTGAAGACTCTTTAAAAGCAAATTCCTTCGCAGTAAGTTTCAGAGCAAGTGCTTATTACATTCACTGTTACCTTTGTTACTTACACCAGATATCAATATAAATATTTCTCCTAAGCTCCTAACATTAACATTGCAACATTATAGTAATATTACATTGTACTCACCCTCATCCCTAGCTCGATGTTCTCTCCGCCGTACACCTCCATCCCGGGGTCCAGTAGTCCGATCTGCCCAAAGTATTCCCGATCCACCACAAAAGAGCAGCCGATCATAGCAGGAGTTCTGTGGAAAAACGAAGAGAACAATTTAATCAGTACTAAATAAGATGTAGTTGCTTTAAATGACTTTTTGGATTAAAGTTTTGAAGGTGCCAAAAAAAAACTGCTGCACAATCAGAGGGTTGGGCCTCAGTAGGATTGTTAACGCTCCTAGGATGACAGCAACTAAGCAACTATACATAGTTTCCAGTGTAAAAGAAAGTATTATCTTCATATTACAGAAAATTAACTCATGTGAGTAACCCCTTATTATAAGTTTATCTACATCTCTGAGGCTGTATTATAAGTGCACCTGTCTGACCCATGCAGTGTATGGGACAGCATGCATGGCATGCACCTGTCTAATCAGTGCACTGTCCTTGTATGTTTTCATGAATATATATTGTGTATTATGTACATCACATTTCTGTAGAGCTGTCATTATGTCACTCATACAAATTCTAGATGTATAATAAAATTTACATAGATAACAATAGTACTGGAGACTCAGCTGCATAAATAAGGTAAAGCAGTAGGACAAATCTGTGAAGAAACAAACAGTGTGTCAAATACAGCTCACTAGGTCTATTTACAAATAGGTAGGTCTAGGCTTCTCCAGTTTGACTCCAAAATGGCTCAGTATATATGCATTTTATAAGTCAGTAAAATAAAGACAAAATTGTAATGTAGTTTGTTTAAACAGTGGCATTATCAAATTGTTATCAGTTAAATACTGATGTCCACCCCAACCATCCAACGTCTTTACCAATGACTTTTTGTGGCTTATCCTCCTTGGAGGGAGTCAGTGACTGTCTTCTGCCTCCCCCCTGATTGTGTAGCCCACTGACCCAGACTGACAAACCACTTAAGGCTCAGGAAACCTTTGTAGGTGTTTTCAGTTGATTAGTTAATTGATTAAGGTGTGACACCATGACTTTCCAATATTGAACTTCTTAACACTATTCGAATTTTCTAAGACACAGAATTTGGGGTTTTCATTATCTGAAAGCCACAGTCATCAAAATGTTAATAAACAAAGGCTTGAAAGCTTCACTTTATGTGTCTATATAATATACAGGTTTGACTTTCTGAAATAAGTGTGAAAAAATATAGAATTTTTTCATGATATTCAAATTTTTAGATCGTCTGTAGCATAGTACAAGATATGGCTCATTTCAAAGGAAAGGTATTTTGTTGACTTTTTCACAAACAGATTTTAAATACAATTCTAGGTTAAATAATTAATTACCACATGCTTGTTTCCTATGGGGAAAATAAATTCAAAATTGACAGAATCAGCTGTCACAGTTGAGCTCCATGATATTTGTACAACAAATACAGGCCAATCAAAAAAACATAATTATTGATACTTGTACACTGTGATACAGGCTGGCTCAGAGCTGTAACACAGTGTATGGCCCTGAGTACATCACCCGGGCACTTTTCTGTTTGATTTTAAGCATCTGTGTTGATATAAAAGTTGAGCAAGTAGAGTAGTAAAGATAGATGAGATGAAGAAAGAGGAGGGAGGAATGCTCCAGAGCGCCAGGGCGTCATGTTTCATCAAAATACACTGGACTGCATTTCCCATCATACGTTTGGGCTTTGTAGTATATGATGGTGGGATATGATGGTGGGTGAGGGCGAACGAAAGCAACTGCAGCTGCCTTACAAGGCACCAGCAGCCACCTTGATTTGAATATTATACTGCCAAGTTTGTAATGATTACATGTTGGTTAGAAAAACAGGGCTAGTTTGTGTGAAATAGAATAGAATATTCTATCATACAGTGTATACAGAAGTATATATATATCCTACCATCCTGTGGGTTACAATCCTATATATACAGCCTATATATAATATACAGTCCCTGACAAAAGTCTTGTCGCTCATCCATTTTGTAGAAACAAAAGCTTATAACTTGACTTTAAATTAATCGATTGGTTTTAGAAATGTCTCATATGAAAGCTAAAACCCTCCCAAATTATGCTCAATAAACTAAAATAAATTTGCTTCACTGAAAAAAGATCATTGAATGAACACAGAAAGGTCAGATTTTGGCAAGACAAAAGTTTTGTCGCCTACAGAAAATTGAACAAATAATTTACTTCAAATACAAAAATATGTTGCATAACGTCAGTGAATTAAGTAGTGGTGCTGTGAGATCCATATTTAATATCTTGTATGACTTCCATGAGCTTCAAGGACTGCATCCATGCAGTTCCACAATGATTCATACAATTTGTTGATGAAGTCATCAGGAATAGCAAAGAAAGCGTCTTACATGCCTCCCAGAGTTCATCAAGATTCTTTGGTTTTGCCTTCCATGCTTCCTCTTTCATTCTACCCCAGACATGCTCAATGATGTTCATGTCTGGTGACTGGGCTGGCCAGTCCTGGAGCACCTTGATCTTCTTCGCCTTGAGAAACTTTGATGTAGAGATAGAAGTATGTGATGGAGCACCATCCTGCTGCAAAATTTGACCCCTTTTATGGTTGGGAATGTAAGAGGTAGCTAATACTTCTTGATATTTTAGGCTATTGATATTGCCTTCCACCCTGCAAATGTCTCGCACACCCCCATACTGGATGTAACCCCAGACCATGATTTTTCCACCACCAAACTTAACTGTTTTCTGGGTGAATCTTGGATCCAACTAGGCTCCAGTAGGTCTCCTGCAATATTTGCGGCGGCTGTGATGTAAATCAACAGAGGATTCATCTGAGAAATCCACCTTCTGCCACTTTTCCAGTGTCCATCCTTTTAGCAGGCTGTGGGCCTTGGCAAATGCCACACGGTTTTTTAATTGCCTTTTGTTTAGTGCTGGTTTCTGTGCACTGATTCGACCATGGAGGCCATTTCGAGACAGAATTCTACAAACTGTTCTGGTTGACACAGGGACTTGAGGTGACCAGGCCTGGTGGAGCTCTGCTGCAGTGGAAAAGGGGCTGGCCGTGGATTTTCGAATCAACAAACGGTCCTCCCGAGCAGTTGTCTTGCGGGGTCTGCCGGACCTGGGCTTGTCAAAAACATCTCCAGTCATTTCAGATCTTTTTCTTATTCTTTGTACTTGACGCTGAGACACATTGAAGGTGTCAGCCACCTCAGCAGTGGATCTGGTCTTCAGCCTCTTGATAATTAATGCTTTGGTCTCAGGGTGGATCTTAGGCATGTTGTCAGAGGTCAAGTTGCAGTTGATGTGAAGGTCTGGTGTGCTGGGGTTCTTTTTATACACACCCACTAACTGATTGATCAGTAACTGATCACAGGTGAGGCTGTAATCTAGGATTGGGTGCATCATATGACAAGGCGACAAGACTTTTGTCTTGCCAAAATCTGACCTTTCTGTGTTCATTAAATGATCAATCTTTTTTCAGTGAAGCAATTTTTTTTTAGTATATTGAGCATAATTTGGGAGGGTTTTAGCTTTCATATGAGACATTTCTAAAACCAATCGATTAATTTAAAGTCAGGTTATAAGCTTTTGTTTCTACAAAATGAATAAGCGACAAGACTTTTGTCAGGGACTGTATATATTTATAATATATATTTATAATTTTGGCCTAGGCTCACCCCCAAAAATTATACCACCAGCTGCCACTGATCTCAAAAGCTCAAAATGCTCAGGTCCACCTTGTGATAATAATAATTCACTCCACACTCGGTGGTGGTAAACTCCTACTGTAGCCACAGCTGCCCTGGGGCAGACTGACAGAAGTAAGGCTGCTAATCGCGCCATCGGCCCCTCCGCCCACCATCACTCACACACACACTGATTTTATACTCTGCAATGTGGGTGAAGTGTCTTGTTTAAAGGACACAACAACCGTTTTTGCAACTGGCCCACTGTGGCACCTGATTTTCCCAGCGGTCTCCCATCCAAGTACTAAACTGGCCCAGCCTCCTCTGACGGGATCAGGCTTTGACAAGCTGGTATGGCTATATTATGAAACAGTTTTACCTTTAGTTCTGAAGACATTAGCAATTCCAAGACTGAATTTATCCAAATGATTCTAGTGAAGCTGTATGGAGTTTAAAAACTCCATACAGAGAGAAGAACTTCTGAGAGAAGAACTCAGCCTAAATGTACAGGGTTTGTATGTTAAACCTGTGTGAATGAAACAAGCCACAACTTCAGGTATGTTTTTGATGAGCAAACATTGTACAACAGCATTATAACATAGATCAGAAAAAGTGTATCATGGGCCCTTTAAACATATTTTGTTTACATACCCCCCTTTATTATATGGCCTGAAATATACAAACTATATTTAAATCAACCCCATAAAACCAATTATATGCCATATTTCTATTGTAAAGTGCCAGACGTTTACTTTCTTGATTACTATAGTTTTACAACATGGGCCTCTCATCCATCACTTGTGTTATGAGTTAGTTTATATGACATGTTTATGCGGCCACAACTTGGGTCTATTATACTTTTATGGCTGTGTTTTGTCTCAGAATAGATTCCTGTGAAGCATGAGCACCCACAAACGTTGGCTTCTCTCTCCCCCTGCCCCCATGCTGTCTGTGCCTCCTATAGCTCACTGGTTAAATCCTGCAGTGGTGACAGGAGCTTGTGTGGTGTTGTTTGCTTACAGCCCACACGAAGAGTTCCCCTCATCAGTCTCCTGTCTACATGGTTGTCACGGCACCACTAACTTCAGTGCACTTTCAAGTGTCTCCTTTGGATAAGTCCCCTCAGACACTTTTAAAAGAGATTACTTTAAATGCAAATACTGTGTATGTGTTTAAGTCAAGAGGCAGCTCCAATTACCCTGAGTGGATGCAAACGTATTATGTGGTCAGAACACAAGTGTATATGTGTGTTTTATGTCTCCCAATGAAGTAGTACATTGTATATTTTAAACAAGTCTAACCATAACTAATTAGCAAAGTTTTCAAGGTGCTATAACAGATTTTTACTGCAAGGACTTTATTTGTTTATTTATTTTTTTCTTTTTCCATTTTTTTAAATTAAAGTTGCACTATGCAACTTTTCAGGTAGAGGGTCCGGCACC